TTAATAATAATAATCATATAATATTTTTTTTTTAATACGCCACTTTCATCACGCTTTAACGTAACTCAACGTAATAGTTCAACTAAAAAATGAAATGAAAATGTCGTGACAAAGAAAATGAAGATAAATATGAAAATGGAGAAAATTATTAATAAATTTTTTTAAAAAAATAATGCCAATTTCTAAAATCATCAGTAATTCTGCATTGCATTTGTTTTACTGCACAACTAGAAAGTTGTTCAGTGGCATGTCTAAATTTAGACAATGTTAAGAAAGTAAATTTATAACAGTAACTTTGATAAAAATTATGTTTCAATTTAATTATTTTATTATAAGGCTATTAGTAAAGCAATTCATTTTTTTTAAGCTAATAACTTCTAAAAATGATTCAATCAAATTCTGGCACATAAGATAAAATTTTGTCGGGTTAAGGCGCATTGTGTCATCACAAATTTTGATAGAAATAATTTCATTATAAGAAGAAACTCCTGATTATTGATCGATAATTATGATTATAATTAGGATGATTAAAAATAATTATAATTGTAAATAATAATGACAATGACAAAAGTTATAATAATTATAAATAATCGTGAAAATTTCACATAAATAATGATGTAGTTAAATATGTTAGGTTGATTAAATAAAAATAAAAATATTAATTAATCAAAAGGGCAATTAATTAATTAATTAATTAAATCTAAATTATTGAATGAATATCATTTCATAAAAATATCATTATTTTTTTTTCTAATTTATTGAGAAAATATCAAATAAATTATGAAGAAAACGATTATAAAAATAATAATGAAATTACAATTCAAATTGAAAATTCAGAAAAATTATCCAAAAACACACGAAATTATTCAAGTCTTCTAAAGCCAAGAATGATAAAAAATTTTGGAAATGAACTTGAAGATTAACATAGATTTTCAATAAAAAATTTATCTAAAAGTTTTTTTTGTAATAAATTTAAGATTATTAATTAAGTTTTTGTTAAAAAATTGTCAAAAAACTAGTCTATATTAAACCATTCTGAAAGTTTATTAAATAAATTTTTTAAGATATAAATAAAGTTAGAAAAGTATTTACAGAAGATATTGTAAATAATAAATTACGATAAAATAATTTGTTGACAAATAATTACAATTTTCTTGATTGCAGGGCTATTTGGAAGTTCGGATCAATCACTACAATTAGCATATTTATAACGTGCAAATGTCCAACCATTTGTGAGGGTGCCATAGACATCAAAGCATGAATTTTATTTGTTACCATTTGATAACGATTATCGTTGGGTTCTGTAATATGATATACATGAAGACAATAGGTATCTGGAGCTTCATCCCAAATAAATACTTTGTGTTGATGACAATCTCTCTTTCCAGCATCTCTTATAACTTTTCCATTACAATATGTTACATATACATGACAGATTGAGGCGAAACCACATAAGTATAGTTTTGTATGCTAAACTTGGTTTATAGACAAAGCAATTAGAGTAGAAAATCAGCAGAAATTAAAGTATTTTTCTATACATATTTAAGTTGCAAATACGAAAAAGATAGTACAAATAGAAAAGGGGTATTTAATAATTCATTCATATTTCCTGTAAGCCTACTTGTTTTTTTCTGTTCGCTTTGTTCTCTTACTCATTGAATTTGTTGAACTCCTTAAAGGAATCTTAATAAAAATTTTCTTGCACATATTAATTAATACAACTTTTTCATGATTCTGGATGAAAATTACTAAATTTTTTATAAAACTAGATAGTTTCGGAATAACTTACAAATTCGTATGTTGAAGAAGAAAATCAGATAAATATTTACAATTGACTTATTCAATGTCAAACCTGTGATAAAAAACGTGTAACCATCATCCAATATTTCGTCTCTAGGCAAATGAAAAAATGAATGAACCTAACTAAAAAAATTTACATTACATAAGAAATGATAAGTCACAATATAGAAACATGTTAAATCTAATAACATGAGTAAATACACCCTACACTTCACTTGAGTTCTTATTAATGATACGAAATTATGAAAAAAACAAGAAATATTATTAATTAAATAAATACAAATACCAATAATTTAAATAAAACTTCCTTAACCCTGAATTCTTGTTAAACTAAAAAATTAGATGCTAAACTGAAAATCAATAAATCAATTATTAAGTGTTTTTCAATATCCATTTTCATTTCTTTCTATTTCCACTTCTTTTTTTTAAAAGTAAATATATACTTTTTAAAATATATAAATAATGCATATATATAGTATTATAATCAATTATTTCCTTGCAGATTTGAAATTCTTGATTGTTATATATCTTCCATTCACGAGAAAGATGCACGAGGGATAAAAGAACATAGATAATCAAAGATAGACGTGGTTGGATGTTAAATTAAGATGAACAATGTATTCAGAATATTAAATATACGATTAAAAAATAAGTAAAATAAAATATAAAGAAATTAAATAATGGTAAATCTAAATAATATTGTAATAATAAAAAAAAAACAATAAAAATTAAGATTAAAAAAAAAAAATAAAATTAAAAAAAAATAAAAAATAAAAAAATAAAAAATAAAAATAAAAAATAAATGTTTATTCATTGACACTTTTCATTATCGCAATCATGGAAAAATATTTTAACGTCTTAGAAAAAAAAAGATTTTTGGTTAGTTAATAATAATTAAAACAATGATAATTATAATAATTTATACTTTGATATAAATTTTTGTCCATATACATGTATTGGTTGATTCATGATTCACCGAAAAATTCTTCAGATCTTTAATTTGAATTATAATTTCTGAAAAATGACTTACAAAAAAAAAGGAAATGAGTATGAATATGAAATATATATAATTACAAATGCTGGTAGGTATGATTACATAATTAGAGTAAATATCTAAATTATGATTATAACAATAATTGTAATTAGAATAAAAACAAAAATCATCATAATTATATTAATTGTAAAAATTTTTTGTAAAAAACGTAATTAAATATGGTGATGTAATCAAGTAAAAAAAAAAAATTGTAATTACATGGCACAAAAAAAAATATCATCATTTATCATTATTTTTTCTAATTAATTGAAATTATTATGCTAACAACAACCCATTTCTATCGACACAGTTGATATTAATAAACTCTACCTAAATAAAATAAATAAATAAATAAATGATTTATAAAAGAAAGTGAAATGCGTGTCTATATTTTTATATTTGATAATCTTGTATATTTTACTTAAATAATTTTCTACCTTCGAATTCTTGCTTTTTTTATTTCATTTCTTTACATCAGAGAATTCAATCTTTTCAAAATTTCCTCGTACCTTATGATTTCCACCCGTCTCAACATTATGAATATTCTGATTTTGCATATTATGAAATGAACATTATGAACATTCTGAACATTCGAACACCGAACACTCTGAACATCTTTAACATGCTCAACAATATCACTATTTTCACGTTTTTCAAACTTAATCATGATCGCATCTCCAGAATCTTTGTATACCATATAATATTTTTCTGCAAACTGAAAGTAGGGTTATTCAAAATACAGATCTTGTGATAATGACAATTAAGGAAAACAGATACTGAACCAAAAACTTTGATAAATAAACAAAAATGCAAAGCTAAGTTGATTGTTAATTTCATTACAACTGATAAGACAAAGTGGAACAACAGATAAAACATCATCAAAATATACATCAAAGTATGATATCCTATGAATTTTTCCAAATTCTATCTACCAAGTGATTTCGTACCAAACAGAACCAATCATCAAGTTGAGCCCTTTCCTGATATTTCTTGTGAACTGTTGCGATCCAAAGATCTTATCTCAAAAAAGACTAAAAAGGCCCAATAATTCTCAAGTTTGCTGGGCAACAATGGGCTGAACCGTAAATTATTTTTTAGTTTTAGCTAACTCTTTTATGTAATTGTTTTATAAATCGTACATTTCTTTCTCAATGTAATAAACAACCTGGAGTGAAGCTCCATTGGTTAAAAAAAATAATAACTGAATCACAATGCATAAATTTTCATAGTTTATTTATTCAAGGATGGTTTACAATTATTCTCAGAAAATACATTGATCAAGTTTATTAAAGGAAATATTATTATTTTATTATTTTTTAATAACCATTTTTTGAGTAAATTTCTTATTTTTATTCTTTTCATTTTATTCTTTTCATGAGGGTGTATATTAAAATAAAGAAATCAAAATGTTGTGAAAAATAAATAAAATGAAGAATGAATTGTATCAATTGAAATAATTTGATTATTAGAAGAAACTCCTGCTATCATTTGATACCATTTTTGAAGGAATTTGAAAAAGAAAATTAGGAGTATCTTTTCCAACAAGATAATGCACCAATTAATACTAGTGTAGTGACAAGAAATTTCATACAAAAAATGGAAGTATCTCTTCTCCAGTCACCCGACTTGAACCCAATTGAACACTTATGGGATGAACTTGAATTTCATACTTGAGCTAAAAAAGAAAATCAATAAAATTTGAGAGAATAAAAAATATTTTTACAATATTGTTGGTCACAAATTGAAAGTGAGATTTGTCAAAAATTAGTTAATGGCATGAAAAAGATAGTAAAGCAGTAATAAAATTCCATGGCTGTACCATTAGATATTGATTGATTTTTATTAATGTAATTTTCTTAATTTTTTTTTTTTTTTAAAAAAAAATTTTATATTGGAATTCTAATAATTTATTTTCGAAAATTTAGAGTTAAAATATTTATTTTTTATTGTAAATAGCATAAATGATCAATAAAAAATTTATATAAAAGTTTTTTTATAATAAATTTAAAATTATTAATTAAATTTTTATTAAAAAATAATCAAAAAACTAGTCTATACTAAACTATTCCGAAAGTTTATTAAATATCTTTTTTAAGATATAAATAAAGTTTTCAAAAGTATTACAGATAATATTGTAAATAATAAATTATAAATAATTACAATTTTCTCAATTGCAGGGCTGTGGGGAAGTCGGATCATTACATGGTTTCATTCCAATACGTGTTAATTTCCAACCATATATGAGGTCGCCACAGACATCAATGCATGAATCATTTTTTGTTACCATAATATAACGATTATCCTTGGGTTTTGTAATAGGATATACATGAAGGCAATAGATATCTGGGGCTTCATCCCATTCAAATATTTTCGCTTGATTACAATCTTTCCTTCCAGCATCTCTTAAAACTTCTCCATTACAATCTGTAACATATATATGACAGATTGAAGCGAAATCACCTAGAAGTGTAGTTTTGTATGCTAAACATTGTTTATAGACAAAGCAATTAATTAGAGTTGAAAATCAGTAGAAAAATTAAATATTCTTCAATATATATTTGAGTTTTACCTTGAATTACGTGAACAAATACGAAAAAGAAGATGATACGAGCGATAATAGAAAATTGCATGATGGTGATTTACTGTAGTGAAATGCTATTGGCAAAAATAATAAAAATCAAAGTAGAAAAGAGGTATTTAATGATTCATTCATATTTCCTATAACCTACTTGTTTTTTTTTCTGTTCGCTTTGTTCTGCTTACTCTTGAATTTGTCGACCTCCTTAAAGGAATCTTTATATAAATTTTCTTGCACATATAAATAATACCCATTTTTCATGATTCTGGATGAAAATTACTAACCTTTTTTTATTAAAGATATAAAGCGGAATAACTTACAAATTTGTATATTGAAGAAAATCGGACCAAATTTAACAAATGACTTATTCATGTTTGGTAAAAAATGAAACTAACTAAAAAAATTAAAATTTATATTATTTATTTTATTTTTTTTTTATTTTTTATTTTCTTTTATTTTATAAATTTTTTTTTTTAATTTTAATTTATTTTTTATTACTGTTACATATAAATAAAAGACTATAATATTATTTACAGTCATCATCGTTTTAATTTCTTTATATATATTTGTTTTATTTTACTTATTTTTTTTTATCGTATATTTGATATTGCCGAATACATCGTTGACCCTAATTTAACGTCTTCTTTGATTATCTACGTTTCTCTTTTATCCCTCGAGCATCTTTCTCATGAATGGAAGGAATAATTTTATATAATTTATTACTTATTAACAGAGATATTTTTTGCGAGTTTTCGAGACTTTGCCAGTAATGAAATGCAAAAAAAAAAAAAATTTACAAATAAATTTTATAACACAACAATTATAAAAAAAAATAAAAAATAGAAATTTATTACGATTTTCTGATCTGCACAGTTTCGATATTACAGGTGAAAAAAAGATTCAAATTTCCACTTATAAAACTCTATAATATAAAAATAAGTGAAATAATAATTTTTTTAGGCGACTAATTTATGAAATATTATTTTTTGACGATTATTTATGAATCGTTTATGAATTGTCTAAAAAAAATATTTTTAAGCGAAATATTTATTAAATTGGCTAAAAAAAATATATTTTTAATGATTTCATAATTAATCACTTAAAAAAATTATTTGACAATTATGGATGATTTAATAATTATTTTTAGACGATTTAATAATTAGAAAATTGCTAAAGCTCACTGGTGGTGATTATTACCACTGGGCAAAATTAAATTTACGTGGGCAAAGTTAGGGTTAGGGAATTATGCAATAAATCGCTAAAAATATTATTTTTAAGTGATTTTATAAATATTTCACAAATAATCGCTTAAAAATAATATTTTAATGATATTTAATTTCCTCTAGTTTTACAAGAATTCTTGTACCTTGTGATTTGCGTAATATTTTTCAAAACTTACAATTTCCATGTTATAAAGACATATTAAAAAAATATAAAAGGAATTAAATATTATGCTTTCTCCTAAATGGAATTTTTGTGTGTAGGTGCCTAAAAATGTGAAAAACATTTCCTTTACCATATAAAAGATATTACATGTCAACTTTTACATATTATTTTTGGGTATCGGTTATTACTACTTATCAAGTTATCCAATTCAAATGAACTAAATGAACAAATTGGGAATAAAGTATGCGAAATAAAAATAATAATTAACATATTCAATTTTTAATACGTTTTTGATTTTTGTATTTAAAAAAATAAGTTATGTTTACATATTATTTAAAAAAGTAGTTACGTGAAAAAGGTTACTAAAATGTAATTTGCTTATTTATTAATTAAATTTAAATCTTAGTGCATAAAAATCTTAGAGTTTTGTTTCAAAAATGGGTTAAAGCTTAATAGCATAAAATGTTAAACAAATAATAGGACAAAAAAACTTATAGGATAATTAGTTGCTTATAGTTTAACTTAGAAATCATGAAAATCTCATTCAATAATTTCCTTTTTTCTTGCATAAACGCAACATGTATCATGATAAGTATCATACTCGCGTAATTCTTTAACCATTATATCCAGCTTATTATCAAATTCTTCCGAGCTTATCTTCAAAGCTTCCTGTAAAAAAGGCTTTACGTGAGAAAATCCAAGCCTGGTATTTTCTACAGCCTTTAAGAATAGATTTTTAATAAAAATGTAAAAATCATCTGATGATTTGGATGAATATTAATTTCATTACCGCTTGACCTAGTTTGCCAGCTTCGGGACCATATGGTAAACGATTCTTTTCTTCTATGACATTTTCAAGGTTTTCTTGTTTCTCAAAATATGTTCGCAAATAGTAAACTATTTCTGGATCTAAACCTCGTTTTCGGAGATCATCTTTAATATTGTTATTTATTATTAAAACGTTACCAAAATTCCAAAAAATAAAAAAATTATTTGTTAAATTTTTACCGGGAATAAAAAATTGGCTTGAAACGGGACCCATTTGAAAAGGCATAGGATTAATTTCCACTAACTTCAGTATATTAAATAAATTAATGATATTAAATTGCATTATTATCTGTTTGTTAAAATGTTAGCTTTATTACCTCCAAATATCCCCCCGGTTTCAAAACTCTAGTCATTTCATTGATGGTGTCAGCCCAACTGTCTTTAGGAATTGCTAAAAACATGAATCTTTGGAAAATATAATCAAAAGTATCATTTTCAAATGGCAATCCATTTAAAAGATTTGCTTTAACAAAATCAACATTCTGAGGTTTTATTTCTGAAGGTTGAATGGGCGAGATATCCAATCCTGTAAATTGGGTATTAGGATAATCGGATGCCATTTCAAACAACCAGGAACCCGCGCCACATCTTTCATTAAAATGAATTGCTTTGTTAGTTATGAATTCAATTTTGAAAGGAAAACAAAATATAATTGAATGTTATATGTTGTAAATATATACCCAACATCAAGAACTTTTGTGCCATTTTGATTTAAAATATGTTTTACAGGCGATGCAAAATTTTTCTGCCAAATATATCGAAGTAAGAAATGTTGTTGATGTAATCTGTCTACTTCTTCATCATCATTTGGAAGAGTATATTTCACGCTTTCAACGTTATGATATCTTCGACCATTAATATATTTGAAGTCAGGATTTTCTTGTGTATTTATTGTCGGAAATGGTGTATTTTTTTTCAATGTCTTGGATAATTTATTTCCCATATTTTAAAAGAATGATATTGTTATAAAAACATTTATAAATAAAAAATATCCGATATGATTGAGATATAAAATATCCGATATGATTGAAATATAAAACACAAATCATAAAATATGCGATTATCTAGTAATCACATCGTAAACTCCGGTGTAACTATGCATAAAAAAACAATCATTTAATTCGAAACAAATACAATATATTGACATTTCATGTATGCACATACGCAAAAATTCATGGACTTACTAAATTATCTATTAAGTTTCTTGAAATAGATTTTATCTACATACATAAATTCGATTCTAAGATCCGAAGCATCTAATAGCTTACAAAGTTACAATATTTATATTTACAATATTAATAAAACAATCACGAATTTTTGTTCTTATGTTTTTTCATTTATGAGATGCACTATTCTAATTGAGGAAATATAATGAACCTTAATTCAAACAAGGTTCTGTACTACACTATAATAATAATCATGAGCATTTGGACCAAAAAAAAGAAATTAAATAGAAAAATCAATGATAATGTTACAAAATTAATAATTATATAATATTTTTTGATACGCCACTTTCATCACATATTCACATAACCCAAGTAATAATTCAACTATTGAAAATGACGTGAAAATTGAGGTAATAATTATATACAGTGCATTACGTCTTAACTCGACAAACGTTCCGATTTTTGGTTGAAGATTTTTGTAATAAATTTTGCGCGTAGCGCAAAAAAAAAAATTTTTTTTAAAAAATAATTTCAATTTCTAAAATGACATTTTCAGGAATTTGTATTTTTTTTTACTGCATAACTAGTAAAAAAGTTCAGTGGCATGCAAAAATTTAGACATATTGTTAAGAAAGTAAATTTATATGACATCAGTAAATTTTTTAAGCGTAAATTTTCGAAATATTAAGTAAATATTTCGCCTAAAAAATCGACTTTTTGAATTCGCTCGCGATTTACGTGACAGGGTACGACTTTTTACTAAGGTATTTCTAAAATAGATCGAAAGTCATGGTTCCTGGCTACTTGTGATATGTTTTTCATTCCTATAGCATCGAGATTCATGGAGATATTTACGTTTAAATTCGGATGTCCGCGAAAAATTTCGTAAAAAAATTTACGGAAATTTTCGAATATCTCCGTAAATGTTGTAATATTGCATAATATTGTCACAATTGTGTAGAGTGTTTTGAATACTTTCGCCTATCAGTCTCAAAGTTTGTCTTTCACAAATTACTTTTTAATACTCTCTATCTGTCAGTAGGTCAAGCAAGCCATCGTTCTAAACTTCCTATCACAAATCAGATAATAAATATAATATAATTCTCTTTAATTCTTTAATTTTAAGTAAGGTGGAGTAAAAGTGTTAACACAGTATCAAATAATATTTAACAATATTTCGCAATATCGTGACACAAAAGATAAGTTTATTAAAATATAAAGGGTACAGATTTAAAAGTAAAGTATCGTTTAATGACAGAAATATTACAATGGGTAGCGTGTCTATTTTACCGTCCCTAAAGGAAGTTTACTTTTCTTTCTAATAATATTAATGTTCGAAACTATGCATAATTATTAATTAACTGAAGTCAAAGGTACTATTATGACTCCCAAGACTCTGAGAGATTGCTACTTCTTTTATACTGTACCTTTTCACCTTCATTCAATTTTTACCCATCATCCTTCGTACTTCATCTTTTATCCTTTGTGTGTCATCCTTCATCCTTACACGATGTCTTTTGGATGACAACACTGGTTGTGATCGTACAATCATCTTTGTATCACCATTTATCATTCCCGTAATAATCCGTATGATTACAATTTACTTTGTCACAATATTATGAAAATTTATTTACAAAATTTTTCACGGACGTTCGATTTTAAACATGAATATCTCAATGAATATCGAAGCTACAGAAATGAAACGTATATTGACATGTAGCCAGGAACCAGAGCGTTCGACCCATCTTAGAAATACCTTAGTAGAAATCGCTCTCTATTACGTAAATCGCGGGCAAACTTAAAAACGGATTTTTTTTGTGAATGGTGTAATATTACGCAATATTACGCCTCTGATGGAGTAACTTTGATAAAATTATTTTATTTTTATTAAGGCCATTAGTAAGGTTTCCCATTTTAAAACCTTTTCAAAAAAATTCAATCAAACATAAGATTGAAAGACCTAAACCTAAACTATCGGTATTTTTTTTTGAAAATACATTTTTCCAAAATAAAGTTATCCTTAAATTTATTGGATTAGTTCATAAAGTATTGTATCATTACAAATATAGAATTATTTCATTATTAGAAGAAACTCAGATCATTGATTGATAATTATGATTATGATTAGGGTGATTAAAATAATTATATTATAATAATAATGGGAATGACAAAAATTATAATACTTATAAATAATTGTGACAATTTTTCATGAAAAAAATGATGTAGTTAAATATGTTTGGTCGATTAAATAAAAATAAAATATTTATTTAATCAAAAAGGGCAATTAATTAATTAATTAATTGACTGATTCAAAATTATTGAATAAATATCATTTCCTAAAAAATATCATTATTTTTTTTCTGATTTATAGAAGCTATTATCTTAACAACTAACCATTTCTAATATATTGCTACTTTGATATTAATAGTTTATACCTAAATATTAAATATTTAGATATCAAGTTAAAAAATAAATAATTCATAAAAAAAAAGTTTAATAAATGTTTATATTCTCGTGTAGTTATTACTTGAATAATTTTCTACCCAGGAATTCTTTACTTTTTTTATTCCAATTCTTTACATGAGGTAATTTCAAAATTTAACGTACTTCATGCTTCTCAACATTCTGAACGCAATGAACATTCGGAACATGATGAAAATTATGAACATTATGAACATTCTGAACATTTCAAACACTCTGTCAACTTCAACATCCTCAACAATTTCCCTAGTTTTGACTTTTTGTTTTTGAAACTGTTAAAGAAACCATGATCCCCGGAATCTTCATATACCATATAATATAAATATAGATCCTATGACATATGAAAACGTAGGAAAACAGGTACAGAACCAAAACTTTGATAAATAAGCAAAAATTAAAAGCTAAGTAGACTCATACCTGACTAATAAGATTATTAATTTCATAAACAACAGCAAAGTAACTGACAAGACCAAGGGAAAATGACAGTTAAAAGCATCATTAATATAAGCATCAAAGAATTATATCTGATACGAATTTATATAATCATTATTATTGTATGTAAATAATAATTTATTATAATAGATTATTTTTTACGGAAAAAGAAGAATATAATGTTTAGTGAAGTACACTAATAAAATAAATGATTTGCATAATAAAAAAAAATCATTTTTGATGATGGTTGCATTTTTACGAAGAGTGATGAAAAATAAAAATTTTCGATAAACGTGTCATGACAGATTCTATTCTTAATCAAAATTTTCGATGTTTTTTTTTTTTTACACACTATGCATAAACTTTCATAGTTCATTTATTCCAAGATAAGATGGTTTACAATTATTCTCAGAAATACGTTGATCAATTTTATTAAAGGAAATTATTTTTATTTTAAAGAAATTATTTTATTTTATTCTTTTCATGAGATTGCGTATTATATGCAACATAAATTATAGGCGAATTGCATAATAAAAATAAAAAATAAGATACAAATAATTCAAGTAAAAAAAAAATTTCATGATAATTAGAAATGATGGATCTTTAATAACTTTTTCGATGAAAAGAATTATAATAGTAATAAAAGGGTAAATAATCTAATAAGAAATTAAACAAGTCTTCCTTAATAGTTGCACTACATTATTATAATAAGAATGAGCAATTAGACCAAAAAAAAAAGAAATTATAAAAAATAACTTTACCAATACAAGTTATAACGATGATAATGTTACAAATAAAATAATAATAATTTCTCTTAATGTGCAAGCTTAATTCCCGTGGCCAAACGGAATAATTCAACCTTAAAAATAAAGAAATTGAAAAATGACGTACAAACACAAAGAAAAAATAATTAATAGAATCACAAATGCTGGTAGGTATGATTACATAATCTGAGTAAAGATCAAAATTATAATAATAATTGTAATTAATTAGAATAATAACAAAAATTACCATAATTTTATTAATTTGACAATTTTTTGTATTAAATATGTCGAGTTAATTAAATAAAAAAAATCGTAATTACATGAATTGAATTACATGGTAATCAATTAATTAATTTTAAATTTATCATTTATCATTATTTTTTTTCTAATTAATTGAAATTATTATGCTATAACAACTCATTTCTATCGACCTGTTTGTTAACATTGATAATCTCTATCTAAATAAAATAAATAAAAAAATAAATTATTTATAAAAGAAAGTGAAATGCGTGTCTATATTTTTATATTTATTTATCCATTTCTTTACATCAGAGAATTCATTCTTTTCAAAATTTTCACGTGCTCATGATTCCCACCCTTAATATTATGAAGATTCTGATTCTGAATATTGTGAACAGAACATTACGAACATTCTGAACACCGAACACTCTGAACATCTTCAAAGTGTTGCTATTTTCACGATTTTCAAAATCTTTTGAGATTAATTATGATCTCCAGAATCTTCGTATGCCATATAATATTGTCCCCCCAAAAAGCCCAATAACCTATTGTTAAGCATAGAGTGAAACTGAACATGCAAATGAGCTCTTTGGTATCCATTCTTTGATTCGTTGTCTTAATAATGATCGATGGTAGAGTAGAAAGACAGAATAAAAAGATTAAATCATCTATATTATAAATGATTTTAACATCCAAGATTTCTTTTCAGTACAATATACTATCAAAATTATCAAAGGGATGATAATGTAAAAGGCAAAGTCACAGATATTGTAAAAGACAATGCAATTGCACTCATAATTTTCATCATAATTATAATAATAAGATCGGGCTGGTCAAAAGAAAATACGACAGGAAAGAAGTAATAAGAAATTTTGGAATTTAGCGTAATTGTCATCAGATAATCTTTCTCTTTCTTTTGAGCTCATGAGAAAGATGAAAACAACTGTGTATGAGGAGTTGATAAAACTGTTCTCGACATGATGAATATGAGAACCTTTTGTAGATTCATAGCAAGACATGCATGTTATATTTTTTAAATCAGACGTTACCTGAAATAATAGTACTTTGTTGTAATGAACTTGAATAAATTGGAAAACAGCCATGTGTACTAAACTTACCTTGGATATTTTCGGTACCATTAGTCACATTAAAGTGCATTATTTTTCTTTCAGAATAGTTCTTAATGAGTTATTATAAAATTAATATATTCATAAATAGATTACCCGAGTTCGTAATTATTGAGTAATTACTGAGTTATTATTATGTTATTAGTTATGTCGAATCATTAGTGAATATTGTGAATATTATGAATATTACAAACTTGAATCATATTGAGTATTTATTTGTTGATATATTTATTTAATAATAAAACAATTGAAAAAATAGATATTAGCAATAAAATCGTCATTACTTAAACATTTGAAATTATTTTGTATTCTTTTTTTATAAACTTATTTGACTTTATATTTTTTAAATAGAAAAAGTAGTAGAACTAGTGGATGACATAGAAATAAATTAGAAAAGAACTGCAAATTTTGTGTTAAAGGCACCGCGATGATATTATTTATATTTAATGCATTTTAATATTTCTTTCTGAACTTGTCACGTAAATAATCTACCATGAACCGCTCGCTATATTTTCAAAATTATTTGAGAACATTATTTTACTTTATCTATAATATATAATAAATTGTGCATATTTGAACTCTTTTATATAAATACAAAGTTGTAAAAGTGGTAGAAAGAAATAATTGTTATGCATTTGACTAATCCATTTTAAAAAGTTTTTGTAATTTGATAAATGAAATTGAATATCCCAAAAAAGGTAAATTTCTATATTTCTATATTTAGTACTAACTTTATTTTCGACCATTGCATGCACCCTTTTTAAAATATTTTCTTACAATTATTTTGCATAATATTTCAGCTTAATATTTTTATATACAGTCTTATTCTATACATAAAAATTATATTGTTATTATTTATTATAAAAAAAAAAGATCGTTGCCAAGTTTTACAAAAGTTAAGACATGATTCTATCACTTATGATTACGCCATAAATATGGTATTCCATCATCAGTTGTGTAGGATTTGTTCAGCATGATAATAATTTTCCTAGATATTGCTATTTGCATTGCATAGTTATATTATATATTTACATCATTACTGCAATATATTATTTCAATGTCAAAATAAAATTAACCAAAAAAAAAATATAAACATTTTAACGTCTAAAATATTTAAAATACATAACATTCAAGCTATAAAAGAACTTTTCAGCATTTTAAATTTTTTAAACAAATCAGCTCAAACTCTAATGAGTATTGACATTGATCAAAATTCGACAGTATAATATAAATAATCGTCATTGAAATAAAAACAGTTTTTAGAAAACAGACTTATTTACGATAATTCATTTTATGTAATTTTTTTTTTTTTAAATCCAATGGAGTCTTGCTCTAATAAACTTTTATTAATAAATTAGGTGTAAATTTTAGAAATACATATAATTTATTTTACATTTATTGAATCTGACTAAAAATAACATTTTACGGTCTGACTCAATGTTGCCTAAGTGTAATCTCAGGAACTGATGGCCAAAACTCCATCAGATGTAATTATTATATATATTGTCATGGTCTGCACAGAACAATGTGGAAAGTTACACAAATCAGTTCCAATAAGTTTAGGATAATCACACAATAATTCAATGTATCACTGACACGCTTTCTCTTGGGTGCAATATCTTAAAACACAGCAAGACAGGCAATCAGTTGATCTAAACCTGCTTACTAACACTCACAAACAATGCAACTATATGTAATATCTGAAGGTATGAAGAGCAAGTGAAGTAAAAGTATCTTTATTACTGCTTGCATACTACCAAACTGAAATAGACTTTTTTATACAACTTTATCAAGAAATAAAAGAAATAGTTTATTAAAATTTATTAAAATTTCGTGTAGGAGTATAACAATAGCAATATATTACTGCTTTGGTGTATCTTATCAATTTGCTTCCTCCTGCACTAAATTAATTATTAAAATTATTACAACAATACAACAATAGAGATATATTATTGCATTGGTGTATCTTATCTCTATTGTTATACAAATTTATTTTATTATTATTAAAAATTATTATGAATAAAAGTAAAAATAAATCTAAATTAAATGTTCAAAATATTAAGCAGAAACTGAAATTAAAATTGTTCAAAATATCAAGTAAAATATTTTTATTTTGGTTCTTGTTCTTCTTGGCAAAAAGGAATCTCTTTTTTTTTCTTTCTTCCTTACTACAACTATTTTTATAATATTTCTTCTTGTTTACATTCATCCTCTGTCATCCAAAAAAATTTTTATACCAGGATGATGGATGACACACAAGAATAATTTATCCAAATAGTGACACATATCATCCTTTATCATCCCTCATGACTCCAGCTATTTTCATGCCACCTCAGATATTTCCTTTTTCAAAGAAGAACTCCTGTGACCACAATTCTGTATTTATTACTTCTTCTATCACTTGTAACCCTATTGTATTGCATAATTGCAAGAACCTCTCAAATTCAGATTTGGAGAATATACTATGACCCATTATTAACTCAAATTCAAAAGCAAGCAGAGGGATATTACATGGAGGAAATAAAATATAGTGATATGAGAATACAGGAGAAAAGGAGTTTTAAATAAAAATAAACTCACTTGCATATATGGATGAAACAACATACATATCCCAAGATAAAAACAAATGGAAAAGATCTTAAAAACAGAAGAGGAATTCTCACTAATAACAGGCACACAAATCAATGCTGAGAAATCTCATCTTATATGTATAAACAACCCATCCAAAAACAAAGAAGAAGATCCTCTCCCAAAATTATATTTATTTAACAAAAAAGAACCCGAAAGAAAGATTTAAACTTTTCGATTCATGTGTATTTTAATTTGAAATTATTGGATAAATCAGAAATAACATGATTATGCTTTAGGTTATGATGACGACAGGATCACGAGTTCGTCCCATTTGGGTGATCATAGCCTGCGAGTTCGACATCATATCTGATACGAGACGATAACAGATATTTCATAATTACCATAATTATTATTGTGGAAACCAGTTTTGTTGATATGCAACGGACGGCATAAAATTAATAAAATTGGTAGTTAAAGGAAGCTAAATATTTTTTTATGCATATCCGTTTGTTTGTTGACGTGCGACGTCAGGAATAAAATGTGAGAGGTACAATCAACGTGATGTGCAACGGTGAGGTAGATCAGAAATAAAATTGTGAATTACAATGGCGGTAATGGATCTCATTTAACCATATTTGTTCTTAAAATCAATTTTATTGTGCAGCCAGTATAAATTTAATACAATGGCGAAGATACAATAAAATGAGTCACTTTATGTTTTCTGTCGTATGAAATTAAAATTGGTGGTACAATCAATAAGCAAACAACGTTTCCTGTTTGTTTGTTGATCAGGTGTGGAATTGCAATGGTGGTAATGGGTTTCATTTAACCTTATTGCATTCCTGCCATATGCAACGGCGTAAAATTAATAAAATTGGTGATGAAAGAGAATTACAATCAATTAACAAACAAGGATATCAATATATTGGTCATCACATTATTACAATGGCGATAATTCAATGAAATACAAACAAATGGGTCGCATGCAACGGCGTAAAATTAATAAAATTGGGTTAAAAGAAATTACAATCAACAAACAAATGCGGTGAGATGGGTTCGGAAAGTATTAATTTTATCAAAGAGTTAACCGGTTTGTTCGGAAATTGTATTCCCTTAAATTTTTCTCTTCTGTTCCTTTTAAATTATAGGTCCTGAAAGAAGACTTATTAGTCAACTAAATAAAGACAATAAGCCTATTTATTGACCATATTTAGTTTGACTAACTTAATAAGAAAACTTTTCACTGAATATATAAATACCCTTGCGAACCATCTAGAGGAAAGGATAAAAACACCGAACTAAAAAAAAAAAACTCAATTTAATGGCAGCCAAAGTTAAATATGTTCTTTCTATTGACGGTGGAGGCATCCGAGGTCTAATTCCAGCAATGGTACTTGAAGAAGTTGAAAAACGAGTGACGGATAAAGTAAAGACTAAAGCTCAAGAAACTTTACCTAAAGATGGACTTATCAGAATCGCTGATTTGTTTGATTTTGTGGCTGGCACGTCAACAGGATCAATACTTGCTTTGGGACTTACTGTCAATGACGAAAAAACCTCTAGACCTAAATACGAAGCTAAAGACCTTAGAGAACTCTATGAAACCAGGGGAGAGGAAATTTTCGACAAAACACTGGCAACGAAAATTTTTTCAATAGTAGGTAAATACGGTGATTTACTTTTGAATGGTGCTGCGAAATATAACAATGAAAATTTAATAAAAATTTTGGATGAGCACTTTGGGGAGGCGAAACTCAACAGTGACATTGTAAATAATATAAAAGTACTTGTTCCATCTTATGATATCACTATAAATGAACGCCATTATTTTAAAAACTATGGTTCAACTAAAAATTCAGTAAAGTTAAAAGATGCAGTTCAGGCTAGTTCAGCTGCGCCTAGTTACTTTAGAGCAAAAAAACTAGATGATGATTTTTATGTGGACGGTGGCGTTTTCATGAATAATCCAGCATTACGAGCTTATACCGATTCAGTAATGTTATTTAAAGGTTCTAAAATCGTTGTATGTTCTCTTGGAACGGGATTCTATAAAGAAGCAACTATAGCCTGGTTGGAAAATGCTGGAACGTTAAAAGTTGCAGAACCGATAGTTGCTCTTTTTATGCACCAACAAACTGCATCGACCGATTATAATATGATAGATCAACAAAAGATAAGTGACGGAAAATTAACTTACCATCGGTTTCAAGAGAAATTTGAAAAAGATATTGGTCTAGATTCAACTGATAGTGGCGCCGATTTAAAAAGTGCAGCTAAGCGTATAATCGGTGATGAGGGTTATATGGATAACGGCAAAACCGTTACGAGGGAGTGGTTAGAAAAAAGGGCTAATTATTTGAATATAGATATCAACTCTGATCTAAGTGATAAGGAGATAGATGAGTTGATAAAAGCGAAAAGGAAAGAAACATTTAATAAATTTGTAGAAGAGCTTTCTGATAATTATATCAGTAAATTTCCTAACACGAAATTATAATTAATCAAACTATAGCATTTTATTTTGAAACTTATTATAAAATGATTTTGTTGTTAATTTTCAGCACAATTTAGAGAGAGAGAGATGAGAGTAGTAACTATTTGCAAACATTTAAGTTGTAATCCAATCATTTAGAGTTAAATACTTATTAGTTAGCTGTTTCATTGCTTCCTCCATTTTATGTTTTTAGTTCTATGATATATATATATATATATATATATAATATATATTTTAATTTCTGTTTTAGTCTCCAAGATTCTTATTTTTTTAACCCCTGAGTTTAATGCCAGGTGAGATAATTTTTAAAATATCAAGAAATTATTCCAAAATATCAAGTTCTCCTGCAAATTTACAATTGTATTATGTGATAAATCAACCTATATTTCGGTTCTCGATAATTCAACCATTATTCTCTACAAATAAAGGATAAATGTAATATTTCGTGGTAACCATTTTTTGCGTAATGATTACTATAGTTATATTTACATTTTGAAGTCATATGAATAAACCAACTGCATCTTTATTATTTTTGATACTAGATCATATGATGTCGAGTTACCAATAGATTTTTTATCCACACAACATATTTTTAATTTTTACTGACCATAATTTGACGGATGATCAGATACATTTCACGTGTGTCAATACACGAATGTTTTCTACATGTAAAAAAATTCTAAATCCCTAGGATATTTTTATTATTATTATTGAGCTTATAAAATAAAATTTAAGTTCCATTATTTGTTAGAGAGAAAGATGGTGGTATTATATTTTGCCAGTAATAAGCTTTTTTTTTTGGTAGTGAAGATTATATAATTGTCTTAATCCAATTATTATCATATTTTAGATTTTTTGATCGTATATTCCTTTTTTAAAAAAATGCCTAAAATTGAAATTAATAATCAATATAATTATTTTCAATTTCATAGTCAAAGATCCACTTAATGCTTTGGTGCTTTAAGTTTAGACTAGTGATTGGACCCGCCCTCAAAAACTTTACTCGGGTCATCTTCTTCCAGGTTTATTTTTTATATCACGGGTATATCTGGGTAAAATTTCTACCGAGTAGATGTAATATCTGGTTACCTGATGATTTTCTCGTATAAAATAATTTTTTAATTTTATAAATCGCAACTTTATTTTGATAAAAAATTAACTATAATTATACTGTACAATTTTTAATTATCAAATATTACAATATACTGTAATTGATTTTTTTTCAACAAATAATAATTGGTCAATTTTTGAGGACAATATATTTCTTTTAACTGTAATTTGGTTTTCTCTAGATATTTCATTATCATTATCAGATTCAAACAACGAATTACTAAATTCTGTCAACTCAGTAAAATCATTTTCGTCCATAATGAATTAATGATCTGAGGCAAAAAATCAAAACATATCAATATATGTATATAGTAACCCAACAGATGACCTGACAGATATAACTACCTGTATTTAAATCACGTCAAAATATTGGAATATCTTATATTCCTTGTTAAAGTATTTTAATGTCATTATTAAGTAAGATTATTATTTAATTATTATGAATATTTTAAAATTAAAATAAAAATAATTATAATAATCACGGATAATACTAGATTATTTTCTAAGAAAAAAAAAGAATTTGACATCAAAATAATATTAGTGAAGTCAATTTTTTTCTATAGCTTGACTAACCAAATGAATTAATTTTTGATATTTGCATTTTTACTCTGTGCTAAAATAATTTTGTGTTATAATTAATTTTCGATGTTATTTTTTTTTTTTTTTTTGTTTTTTTTTAATGCATAAACTTTCATAATTTAATTGTCCAAGTGAAGATGGTTTTTAATTATTCTCAGAAAATACATTGATTAATTTTATTAAAGGGCACAAAAAAAAAAAGATTATCATTATTATTATTTTATTTGTTTGTTTATTTTTTTTAAAAAGAAATTTTTTTATTCTTTTCATAAATTATAGGGAATTGCATAATATAATAAAACTAAAAATAAATATTAATTTATTAAAAGTTTTTTCATGATAATTTAGAAATAAGGGTAATTAATTTAATAACTTTTTAAATGGTGATAATAGTAGTAATAAAATATTAAACAATCTAACTAATAAGAAATTAAGCACTGCATCAATGTATATTAATGTATGAAAAAAAGAAATTTATAAAAAACGACTCCACATATAATTGTAACAATGATATTAGTTATAATAATTTTTTTTTAATAAGCCACCTTCATCACGTACTTTACGTAACTCATTCAACTTTTTAAAAAAAAATAATAATAAAATTAATAATAATTATTTGGCGAAAACAACGGAAATGAAGAAAATAATTATATAGAAATTATTTATCAAAATAAACTAAAAATTAAACAAATTTCGCCAATTTATTTATTCCTCCTCCTGATTATTGACCAATAATTATGATTATTATAATTATATAGTAATGACAAATATAATAATAATTATAAAATGACGATGTAATTAAATAGCATAGATTATACAGTATAATTAATAGAAATAGTTTATCGAGTTTCGTAATTATTGAGTAATTATGTATACTAAGTATTATTATGATATTAGTTATGTCGAATCATTAGTGATTATTGTGAATATTGGGAATATTACATACTTAAATCATATTAATTATTTATTTGATAATATATTTATTTAATAATAATACTATTGAAGAAATATAAATCAGCAATTAAATTGTCATTACTTAAACATTTGAAGTTATCTCGTATTCTTCTTTATAAAATTATTTAACTAGTAGATGAATTAGAAGTAAATTTTAAAAGAATTCTAAATCTGGTGTTAAGGAATTGTGATGATTTTTATTTATTTATTGCCGTTAATTTTCTTTCTGAACTTGTCATGTAAATAATCTACCATGAATTGTAAGCATTATTTTATGTTGAATCTAAATAAACAAAATTCAAATATGTACAAATTACACAATTATTATATATTACTGCACACTATTTATGTATAATTTCTAGAATTTTAAAATTCATAAGGTTTCAAAAGTGTTAGAAAGAATTAAAAGAAATAATTGACTATTCCATTTTAAAGTTTTTGTGATTTGTTAAATGCAATTGAATAACCTAAAAGGTAATTAAAATATTTTATATTTCTATATTTAATACTAACTTTATTTTCGTAACTGTTTATAAAATATTTTCTTACAATTATTTTATAAAATATTTATTCTTATTTTATATAAACGAATTTATTATTTCCGTTTACAGTGGACCCCCTCTACGAGCACACCCCTCGGGACCATAGAAACAAAAAATAAAAGGTGTGCTTATAACCATATAGACAGATTTTTATATAGTATTACTAAGTATTGGTCCTCATGAAAGGTGTGCTTATAAGTGGGGATTTATATGATGTGATTGTACAGGGAGTGAATATAGAGGAGGTACACTGTATTCTTATTATTTATTATAAAAAATGATCGTTACCAAGTTGTATAACCATTATTTTATTCAAAACTAGTGCGATGGTGGCACAAAGTGCCACCATTTTATTTGAATTTGGGATATCGGAGAATGTTCTTATTATGTGAAATTTAACGTGACAGGTTTTGTTGAGTAGTGTGGCGAAATAAATTGGTAATTAGCTGAAGTGTTACGAACGATAAACTGTGACACTAGAAGAGTGTACGATCACCTCAGGTAATTTATCATCTTGTATAATCGTTTGTGTAGCCATCCGTAGGGTTGTGCCTAAAGATGAAGGATGATGCAGGATGACGGATGAACTACTGGAAGATAGAGCGTATTGTTGATAATTTGTGTGATATAAATTTTGAGATTGTTTGGAAAATTGTGCGAAATACTCTGTACACACGAAACACTATAATTGGAAACGAAACAATGTAAAATTATACACATTTTTTATGTTCATTATCATATTTTAATAAAAAAGTGTTGTGCAATTATATCACCCGTTGTGTCACAATTAGCATTTTAAATTGTGATTGTCTGTCACCGCCATATAATTCCCTGATCAACCACTAACCCTAATTTTGCCCACGTAAATTTAATTTTGCCCAGTGGTGACAATCACTACTGGTGAGCTTTGGCAATTTTCTTTTAAATTTAGTAATTTTTTTTTTATTTCTATTTGTCCAGTGACTTTTGATAAATCAATGTATATGATTGGATTCTGAACCTATAATTAATAACAAACTATATCTTTGTAAATGAACCATTTATTATATAATTAAAATAATTAAATAATGAAACGGTAATTAACTTTCAAAAGTTCTTTTAAGGTTACTTTTTTCATGACTTTCTATTATAGATTCATTATTTGTATTTCGGATGATAATGTTGATGCTAGATTTGCTAGATTTGTTGATATACTTTATTTTTTTCTCCTTCTTCGATCTTTTTTTTTTTGTTTATTACCAATCCATATTTTGATTCTTTATTATTCAATATTTCAGTTCTTGTAGTTTTTGTAGTTTTACTAAGCATTCGTCATAATCATCATCATTTTTTTGAGGAGGTGGGTAGTAAAGAGATTTACTTCGTTCTACTCAATAAACATTTTTTAAAGCCAGAATTATTAATTGTTCGTTTGCACCTTTCTATTTATTATAAATACCGAAGAAACGATAGGAAGGAAGATATTACGGGAAAAAACTTTATTAGATGCCAATTCAGCGTGTATCACTTCATTCATACAGTAGTAGGAGTAGAAGTAGTAGAAGTAGTAGAAGTAGTAGAAGATACATTTACGAGTGCTACGTCCCTTTTACAGAGATCATAAATGTGTCTTTTAAACCGTAGAGACAAACAAATAAAAATTATATAAATAAAAATATATGTATAAATAATGACTTTGTATTTTATTATCTTAAAAGCCAGTAACTAATTCAATCTTTGATGATTGATCCAAGTCATTGCAGTGATACGACGTTTTTATCAAATATTCTTTTTTCGGGATTTTTGTTTCATTATTTTTATTCTTTTGAAGAGTCATCAAAAATCACGATGAAATGTAGTATCTCGAATTTCTCTTGACATTTTTTATCTCAGTGAACAAACAAAAAAAAAATTAAGCAACATAGCATTCTATAGTATAAACAGACAATTAAATATAAAAGGCGTCGCACCTTCTATGTTGACAGATAATAGGTGACAAATATGATTTTCACATGTTAAAAATTTACCCGTTCCAGGATTTTATAAGGCTAAAATTAACATCTATAAATATATATATATTCATTTATGTGGTGTTCACCGGAATTACGTTTTTAAATCATCGTTATTATTGTAATTAATTTTGCAAGTCAATACATTATCTTCGGACGGCAATAGCTCTACGAATATCGGAAGCCAGAAACGAGAATTTTCAAATGATATCTGTCAGTGGGAACAAATTAGGAAAAACATCAATTTGATTTACAAAAAAAAAAATTAATATTCTAATTTGTTAATATTCAATGTTCACGTTTCATATAAATAGTTAATATTTAATCAAACACGTGATTTAATTGTTAAAGTTGAATTCTAATATATATTATTAGGATATCCTTGTTAATTCGTGATTCACGATAAAAGGAAAGAGATCTACACATAAGAACCATAATCTCGTTCCGGAATGAAAATATCACTAGAACTACCTTATAAAAGTCCATTTCTCCATTAAAGCAATGGTTCTAATTTAAACTTATTTTTAGTTCTAAATGATTATATCAATAAAAAATAAAATAAAAAAAAAAAATTTTTTTTTTTTTAAAACTATTAAAAATTAATTTTAATTGCCCGAAATCCATTATATAAATCTTTTCCTTTTCTAGCGAACACGATAATGGTAAATCATTAGCATTTGTAAATTAGCAACATAGTAAATTAAGTACAAATAAAATAAATGGAAACAATTATAGATGATCACCGAAGATCATAAGATTCTTATCTACAGAAACAAAGAACAACAAAAAAAAAAGGAAATGATAGGTTTAGGTGTGAAATTCTGGTATAAACAATACCGTATTACTTCTAAAGGACGAATATTTTGTGTTCAATTCTATTATTAATGTTGTTTTTAAGAGAGCTTAAAACTTAACATGCATCATCAAACGTTTTTTACTCATACCAAAAATAGTAATAGTAATAAAAAATCATGCATAATTATTTCTCATGGAAAAAGAATACGAGAAATTATTTCTTTATCTGTTATGTTCAAATTAGGTTTGGCGTGATAGAAAATCTGGTGGTTTGTTTATAATATTTTAAAGTTAACGTAAATTACTTCCTAATTAAAGTTTTTAATTTTGCACTAGCGACAATGGAATTTTTATTAATTTTTATTCGCTCTTTTTTTCTTTCTTCATTGTTTTTTTTTCTTTCTTTGAAATTTCTTATTCTTTGTTGATTGAAAGAATTTTTTTTCGAATAAAAGAATGATTATCACAATAAATGATGATGAGAATAAATGACGAGTACAGTATACGATATGTTGTGTATTGTTTTTAAAATGCAAAAAGATTACCTAAAAATATTTCAAATTACATTCAGCGTGATAGAAAATCTGGTGGTTTGTTTATAATATTTTTATTCGTTTTTTTTTCTTTCTTCATGGTTTTTTTTCTTTCTTTGAAATTTCTTATTCTTTATTGATTTAAAGAATTTTTTTTGATTAAAAGAATGATTATCACAATAAATGATGATGAGAATAAATGGCGAGGACAGTATATGATATGTTGTGTATTGTTTTTAAAATGCAAAAAGATTATTTAAAAATATTTAATTTATTTTTAATTTATCTATTTCAAATTAGGTTCAGCGTGGTAGAAAGTCTGGTGGTTTGTTTATAATATTTTTATTCGTTTTTTTTTCTATCTTCATTGTTTTTTTCTTTCTTTGAAATTTCTTATTCTTTATTGATTGAAAGAATTTTTTTTTTTGATCAAAAGAATGATTATCACAATAAATGATGATGAGAATAAATGGCGAGGATAGTATATGATATGTTATGTATTATCTTTAAAATGTAAAAAGATCATTAAAAATATTTAAGTTATTTTTTAATTTATCTGTTTCAAATTAGGTTTAGCGTGGTAGAAAATCTGGTGGTTTGTTTATAATATTTAAAGTTAAGATAATGGAATTTTCGCTAATTTTTATTCGTTCTTTTTTTCTTTCTTCATTGTTTTTTACTTTCTTTGAAATTTTTTGATTGAAAGAATTTTTTTTCGATCAAAAGAATGATAAATGATGACGAAAATAAAGTATATGTATTGTTTTTACCCAAAAATGTAAAAAGATCATCAAATATTAATATATTAATTTATTTTTAATTGGCTTAACAAAGAAATCCCAAATTGATCGAACAGCTTATCATTGTAACTTAAGCGATACACAGAAATATTAACAAAGAATGAATCCACATGTCACAAGTTTTGATCATAGAATGCTCACAAGTACAAATAGGCAGCGTTTTCCTTTCTTTTGCCTTCATCAAATTCTTCATAAAATAATAATTCATCTAATTTATCTTACTCATTCTCTAAAATTATCAACAAAATAAATATACATAAATCTTTAATAATTACAACAAAAATGTCTTCTGATAACAAAACCATCGTCTTCAATACTCTTAAAACACTCTACATTCAATTCGAAGAATCAAAGAATGATTTCCTTTCCGATGATTCTCATGGTGATGATTTCTATACCCCCGATTCATTCTCTGATATGTTTGGAGGTGAAGTTTCTGAAGAGGAACTTATGGAAATGTTACAACAAATTCAAGATGAAAATAAAAAAGGAACCAAAAATCAACGTTCCTCTTCTTCCTCCTCCTCCTCCTCCTCCCAATCTTCCGACGAATCGGATGACTCTTTGGATGATGACAGGATCGCAACGGCCAAGAAGCTTATTAAATTCGTACAATCCAAATCGAAATAAATTCTAAAATTCATTCACAGTACAGTGAAAAGAAGAAAAATTTTTTTATGCATTTTGTATCATTATTATTTATTCCATATATTATATATATTATATTCCATATATTTAGTATTTAGAACATTTATTTTATTCATTTTATTGCATTTTTTTTTATTCCTGGCATTTAACATTTATATTGTACATTATATAAACTAATTTTGAGTTAATTTATACCATAATAGAATTTAAAATTGTAATTATTACTTTAGAGAAAACTCAAATTTCTTTCCTATTCTTCTTTTTTTTAAAATATTTAACTCTGAAAATTTTATTTTACTTGGGTAATTTATTGAAAAAAAAATTTTTTTTTTTCAATTTCTCTCTTTTGTAATTTTTTCTTTTTCGAGGGATATTTTTCATTATTAAAATAATAAATAATAAAAATGAATATCATTCAAAAAACTCCCACTTGCGTTACGTTTGTTATGATGAAGTAATGTGAACTAATGCCGCATTTCAAGGGTAAATAATTTGATTAACACGTTTTTTAATTTCAGGGACATTAATATTATTATTATAACGCCTTCTCTTAGAAACATTACTAATATTTCGTTGAAGGCAAGAAATTAATGTAATAATCTTCCAATGTTTGAAAATTGCATAAATTAATGACAATACATTTTTTTACATTAATGTCACTAAAAGTTCTGACGTCAGATTACAACTTTTATTAATTATTCCAATATCGAGTTTATTTATACTGACTATCAGATATAAAGAGAAAATTTATTTATTTGAATTTTTGAAAAAATTATAGAAAAAATATTTTTGAATATTAATTTATTGATAGATTTTGGAATTTAGAATTGTATTATTGATCCAATTGTGCTAAATGTTTTTTGATAGCAGGTAAACTGAATATTCGGTAAAAAGATTTGATCAATTTCTGAATAATGAATATCTAATCTAACATATGATACGAATGTAAAATTATTATAGAAAATTATTTATTTGTAATCAAATAGATAATACTATTTCAAATACTCAAATAATTTTACAACAGATAATTATATGTCAAATAATTATAAAATAAATAATATACTAATAAATATTTTCATCATTAATTGCATTAATTAAACAAGAAATAATTCAATTGCTCTGAAAATGATAATTGTTATAAGTAATTAATTAAAAATAATAAAACGAATTTGTAACTACATTATTACAGTATATTATTATAGAATAGTATATTATAGAATAGAATAGTATGTTATAGAATAGAATAGTATATTATAGAATATTAAATTGTTATATTATTTTTTACATTTAATTGATTTAATTGATTTACCACATTAAATAAATTACTTTTATGATAAAAATCTAAGGTTACTCTGATAATATAAGGAAACTTGTCTTTAAAAATTTCAAAAAAATGATCTAATAAATCATAATTAATTTTATTTGCTAAATCTTTTAAACATAATTTACCAGGATTCGTTTTATTTTTTACGGAATCTTCTAATGCTATTAAATCCAGTCCAACTCTATATAATAAAATATGTTATAATAAAATATATTAAAATAAAATAAAATATGTTATCTTATAAGAGAAAAGTAGAAAGAAAAAGAAAGTAGAAAGACAGTAAGTTTACTCACGTAACATCAATTGTTTGCCATCGAATATATCCATAATTTTTTAAATCATCAGCTATTACATTCTGAGAATTATTACTCCATCCATTAAAACTTTCATTTAATTGTTGAGCAGTTAAATCACCCGCTGTATAAGTATAACTTACGGTAAAATGGGTATTAATACTATGTACCCAATCTTTACGCGTGTTATTCAACCACAACCAATAATATAAACGACCAAACCATATTACAATTCTTTGATTTATTTCAATCATTTTATTTAATTTCGGCCATCCTCTTTTTTCTTGTAACATTAATGAATATCCCGATCCATTTACAAAATAATATTCTAATTTGTCTTGAATATAATTAGCTACAAATGTCCCATTAAGTCCATCATAATCACCAAATGCTATATTAAGGATTTCATTAGGATTATCTTCCATAAATTTTTTTATATCTAAAAATATTGAATCTAAATTTGTTCCTAGCGCACGTCTCAAACGCTCTCCATGACAGGATACTACACTTCCATTTCCTACTTGACATGTATCAAGATCCAAAAATCTGATTCCTAATATATAATAATAATAAGTGTAATATGACGTATATATAATATAATGTAGATAATAAAAATATGCATAATTAATTAATTATATAATAATTGAAAATAAAGCATAATAATAATAATAATTGAAAGTAAGCATAATAATAATAATAATAAATAATTTACCATCTTCAAGTTGCTGTTTAATAGGATAACCCTGATTATTTTCCCATAAACATTCTAAAACCCTATTAGAAAAATCTTTTTTACAAGCATCTCTTAGCAATTCACATGCATTTCCCGATCCTTTGCATACAGTACGCCAAGCAACACATAAAATATCACTCGTTTTACAAATGGAATTAAATAAATCGCCAGTCCATTGAAAAAAAGTAGGATTCCAATTTTTAAAAACATTTGCTTGAATATCGCAACTTGCCGTTCGATTATTTTTACAAGTTTCATATTGTTCGTTACATGAATTTGAAGCATATTTAAGTTTACAAGCATCGGCGAGACTATCACAATCATAAGTTAGATTATACGCTGCACTATTATGAGTTCCGGCGAAGGTCTATATTTAAAGAATAATTAATAAAATTAATTAATAAATTAATAAAATTAATCGATAAACAATAATAAATTAATTAATCAAATATAGTATAGTATTATAAAATTACCACTTGATAAAAATACAAGTCACAAATATTCGGATCACCATTGCATCCCGCAGCAGCAACTAATATATTATTATTTGTTAGTAAATTTATTATGTTTATGATAATTATGGTGTTTGTTATATTGAATATTTTGATAATTTGGAATCGCCTCATCTTCTAAGAAAATAACATAATATGCATAAAAAATAATAAATATATTAACAATGAATAAATAATAAATAGAAAAATGGAAAATTTTTTTAAAAAAAAATTAAAAAACTTACTTTTCGCAATAAGTAATAAAGATAATTTTTAAATAAAAAAGATGAAATTGAAAATAATACGCTCAATGAATTTATTATTATTATTATAACGGATATTTCATTTGATAATGCATTTCCCCTTGACTCCTCTTTGATTGATTTCCGCCTCAGCGACAACATTTACTAGGAAAAGCTACGTTACAATATAAATAATGGAGATTTCTTTCCGTACACAATATATATATACAATATAAAATGCAATATATATATAATAAATATAAAACTAGCATTAAATTCATTAATGTTTTAATGTAATGTTGTACGATGGATGTTCAATGACATTAAGTAATTGTCAATAGAAAATCTATTTACCCCTTTGTATTACAATTTAAAACAAAAATTTTTATTTAATTTAAATCCTCAGTTTTAAAGATAAAATTATAATAAACATAAAAAACTTAAACAAAAAAATGATTAACATGAATTTTTACATAAATTCGTCTATTTTTATGACAGGTTATTATGTACATAAATAGAACTTTATACCCAAAAAACGTCCCAACTATACAATCGTCTAATCCATCGTCCCATCGTTCAAATCCCAACTTGCGTCACTCATTTTATTTCATATTCTATTGCGCAATAAAGTTTTTTTATTATGTTTTTTATGTTTTTCATTTAGTTTTGATATTATTAGTTGATCAAATTTACAATGCTTATGACAATGTAAAATAAACCAGAAAATTTGGCCACAACTTATAAATAAGTTGTGGCTTTAGACTGTGCACATACGTAGTCAAATAAATTAAACAATATTTTTATTGTAGTATCGACACAACAATTTTATTTTTTTTTTTTTTAAAAAAAAAAAGGAAATCGAAATTTAGATACACAAAAACATTAAAGCATAATGCGTATTTTAAGTTATTTTAATAAAGTTAAATTAGTAAAAATTAATTTAATTTATTGGGATATAGTTTAAAATAATTTATCACCCTATTTACGAATAATTTTTTTTTACATTTTTTTTCACCTTCTCAACATTCATTTTCCTTCCTCTTTCATGATTATTTACTGATCTCTTACTCGATATTGAGTTTTCGTCATACACCATGAAGTATGATAAGCAAGATTATCCTAATATTCTGATGCTATTTTACGAACTTTTGGTGTCTTTAAAATTAAAGAATATGGATTAATGAGCATAAATTAAAGAATATAGATTAATGAGAAAGTGGAAATAACATAATTATGTTATTTCCACTTAGCTTAGGTTATGGCCACTCAGATATGTGGCTTGACGACAGAAATTGGCCACCGTCATCAGTGGCGTGATATATTTTTAGGCCACATTTTCGATTACAAAAATTAGCCACGTCGTCATGTGGTCTGATAACAGAAATTGGCCACTTTGGTGGATAGATGGCTTGTAAACCCTTTGGAAAGTCAAATTCGATATCAATAATAATAATGTTTTAATCATTTATATATATCAGCTTAATGTTTCTGTTAATTTCCAATGAATAGAAATATCTGGATTAGGTTATGATGTCCTAGCCTAGCCCTTCTGCATTTTTTATTATAACCCAAATTCGATAATGTTATTTGTATGCTGGTTTGGTGATTGTGATTAATTTTCGTTACAAGTTTAATGGGCCAAATACATTTTATGTGTCATTTGATATCATATGCTACCATTACAATAAAATAGCTGAGGTAGGTTATGTAACTGAGTTGGTCTCATTGTGAGTTTAATGACCTGATTACAATTATATCATTATTTGTGAAGGCATATAGCCAGAGTATATGATATCTGGATATACTATATATATGATATTGGAAAATTTTATATATATTGTAGTGACACAAATCGATAATCAGATGAAATGTCATGGGGAATGATAATTTGTAATACTAGATGAACATTCAGATAATTGTTATCTCAGGTAAGATGACCGTACAAGGATGAAAGATAAAGTACAAAGATGAAAGATGAAAGATGAAGGATAATACACAAAGGATAAAAGATGAAGTACAAAGATGAAGGATGAAATGTAAATAAAAGAGAAAGTAAAAATATGACTGTTGTTAGGAATAAGTTTCAGTAGTAAGAGTTAATAACAGTTCAATTATTTTAATTAATCAATAGTTAGAAATAATTCAAAATAATCTGAAATACTTTAATAAATATTAAATAGAAAAGTAAACTTCCTTCAAGAACAGGAAAGATACATCACGCTGTAATATTTCTGTTGTTAAATGATACTTTACTTTTAAAAACTTTATATTTTATATTTTAATAAACTTATATCTCATGTTGTAATATTGTAAAATATTATTAAATATTGTTTGATACTGTATTAATTGCTTTTACTCCATCTTACTTACTGTGCCTTCATGATTAATTGATTATTATTTGATTATTATTATTATTATTTATTATATATTTATTATCTGTTTCAAGATAGGCCAGTTAAATCAATTGTATTAGCTACAACCTACTGGTAGATAGAGCGTATTATTATGTTTGTGTGATGTAAACTTTGAGACTGATTTGAGAAATTATTCAAAATACTCTGCACTCCTGTAACAGAATTTGGTACTTCCTGTGAGATGGCATAAAGTATCTTAATACAATGACCTATAATATAGATATATCCGTTTTACAAATTTTATATTTCTTAATAAATCTAGTAAAATATATAATAATTATTCCTATTATTGGAAAAGATAGTCAAAGAAATTTATAACATTTTGAAACAATTTGAAAACATACAATTTATTATCATAATTATTCTTTTTATAAAAAATTGATTTCTTACATTTTATTTTAACCTGACAAAACTGATCATCAAAGTAATCGTTAGTATAACAAAATTCTTCCAAATCAAAATATTTACAACAAAAATTGTCAAGTGAAAATTTGAGTAACTAGACAAAATCTCTGAAGGATCGTCAAAATTACTTTTATAAAAACTTATAGAATAATACGTCAGACTACATAAATGAAAGAAAAATATCAAATTAGATATAAGTGCAAGGGAAAATAAGACAAATGCTCAAATACAAGATATCCAAAATACATTCTATATAAGAAATAATATAAGAATGTTATCCTTTTTTAGAAAAAATCAAGAACCTATGGAATGGTACAAACTTCAAGTAGTCAGCAAATATCTACAGGGTACAGCAGAACAATGGTTTAATGAAGCTCAAGAAGGACAGAATCTCATCAACTATTGAAACAATAAAGATCAAATCTCTTTTGAAACATACTTTTTGATCACTTTTCAAACAACTGTATTGATAAATCAATAGAGATTCGAATTACAAATGAAAATACAGAAATTAGGCAAAAGTGTAGAATAATATTCAAATGATATCAAGAAATTAATTAAATGAATAAATGGTAATGATAGATAGAGTAAAGATGAAAAAGTCTGACAGTTTTTAAAAGGATTATGAAAAGATATTGCTTATCAAGCTAATTATTTATTATGTTTCAAGAGAAATTAACCTTCACTGGTCAAAAATTGATAAAACATACACATATCGGGTACCCGATATGTATACATTTTATCAATTTTCAACTAGTGCTTGGAAAAAGCAATCTGAATAGCTAAACAATTTGAAGAAAATGCTCAAACCTATTCTGAAGCTATAGCAGGTACTACTACTACTTCTATAAGTATGCAAGGATCCATATCTATTCAAAATAAAAGTAATGATAGTAAAAATGTAATAGAGTGAATAGTATAAAAAGTCTTTGCGCGTATTGCTGAAACATTGCAAAAGATTATTAAAAAAGGAGAAAGAGCACCTAATACTTTAAATAATAGACTAAACTATAACAATAATAATAGAGAACAAAGTTACAATAGTTATAATAATAATAGAGAGCAAAGCTTTAAAGGTTATAATAATTTATGCAATTGTTACCATTGTGAACAAATTGAACATATGACTTGGAATTGTTCTATAAGACAGGAAAAATTAAAGAAACTAAACAAATCTGATTATTTCTGTCACTTTGTGACCTACTAATACTGTGCCTCCTTCAACTAATACAATAGCAAATTAAACTATACAACAAGTTTTGCAAGGAGATATAAATAATAATATGTTTATAACTCAAGAAGAAGAAATTCAACAACCTATTTCCACTGTTTGAGAAAGAATGTAGTATTTAAACTAACAAGCACACCTCAGAAAGGTGAGAGTGTGGATAATATAAATTTTTCATTTAAAATCAGAGATAATAATAAAGTAATAAAATAAAATTTTGAATTTACAAGTAAACAAGATATTTCGCAACCTATCACAAAGATATTATATTTTGCAGAAAAGAAAAAAAGAAGTATCCAATGATCCTAAACAAAAGAAAAAAAAGAAAATACCTCCTGTTTAACAACTATTTATAACATAAAATGCTCTGTTATATTTTATCATCTCAAATTTATTTCCAACAAGAACCAACATCACTTTGGAACAATTAATGGCTATGCCTCATTATAGAAACAAAACACGAAAGTTTTTAACATCCAAGTATACAAGAATTGTAAAAATAGCTAATTATACAATAGCAGAAAGGAACAAACCTATAATTTGTAAAGTCCAAGTAGCTGATGGAAAGTTAAAGTAATACTTGATAGTGGTTTATCTATTAGTATCATTTCAAAGAACTTTATGGAGTCCATAAGATAAAGAATTGAAAAAACATCTGGAAGAAAAATAACTAATATACATGGAGAAAGATGTCTTAGTTTAGAAATCATAATGCAAGTACTCATAAAGTTGAAAGAAATTGTGATAGCTGTTGACATGGAATTTATTGATGTAGCAAGTTATATATTGATTCTTGAGACAAATTGGTTAAAGAAAGTACATGCTATAATAAACTATCAAAAATATAAGTTAATTCTAAAGAATGATAAGCAAATGGTACAGATTTCCTATAGAAATATTAGAACCACTATTTTGAATGATAAAAAAGAAGAGAATTATAGTGAGAATAAATATGAAGAGAGTAGTGATAATTTTAATACTAATGGAAAAGAAGTAAACTTTATAGGATTAACTTATGAACTTCTGCATCAAGAATCTTATATGAGATATAAATTTACTTCTGAAAAAATGCACAAGAATTCAAAACTTGTTACATGGAAATTATATAATCAGTTATCTTACTGTTTTGATCCAGTTAAAAGAAAGAAAGGTGCTCAAGAATGATATAAAGCAATGGAAGTTAATTCTTATTGCTAATGTGATATATATTTAGAAACAAGTTAGGATATATGCAAAGTCTGCAAAAAATATCAACAAGATCATAAGATTATTTTCATTATATCATGAAATGAAATACAAAACATTCATTGCAATTTAGTACGAGGAGGAGTAGAAAAGCTTAAAGAAAATCAATATAAGTTACAAGTTAATGAAATTATCAAAGAATTTCTGAATTCAGTAACCAAAGATCTTTCAGAATTAGGAAAGACAAATCTTTATCAGTATACAATAGATACTGGCAAAGCAAAGTTAATCAAATTAAACCCCTATAGAACCTCACCTTAATACTTAGCATTTTTGAAGAAGGAAATAGCAAATATGTTAAAGAATGGATTAATTCAAAAGTTATTCAGTTCTTGGTCTATGCCTATAGTTATAGTAAACAAGAAGAATGAAAAATACAGACTTTATGTAAATTACAGAAAATTAAATGTGGTTACGAAATCTGATACCTATTCAGTATCACAATTAGCAGATATACTAAATGCTCTGGAACACTCTGCCTTCTTTTAACTTTACATCTTACTTTAGATTTCTGACAAGTAAAAATATCTACTAAAGACTGAGAGAAAACTGCTTTTACCATTCCATTTGGTACCTATAAGTTCTTTGTAATGCCTTTCGGACTTATCAATATTCCTGCAACTTTTTAGTAAGTAATGGATAAAGTCTTCTATGAGATTACTTGAAAGTTTGTATTAGTGTATATTGATGATATTATTATATATTTAAAACTTACGAAGAATATCTAGAACATTTAAGAAATATATTTATATTTCTGGAAAATGTCAGATTAAAGATAAACTTGAAAAAGTACAACTTTTTTAA